TATATTAATTATCAAGTTTGATTATCTTCAAAAGCCGTATTCTCTTGGCATAGCAAAGCCGGCTCGACTTGCAGACTTGGTTTGGTGTGGAAAGGAACGCGATTGTCAATGAATTTCACCCATTTCAAGTGCCCATCAAATGGTAACTGATCAAAGATTCATCCGCAGCTGAATCGGAATGGGAAACTGGAATGCTTGGATGCCAGGAAAGCATTTGCTAAACGCCAAGTTGTACTTGCCCTGTCGGACGATAGATGAACTGGCCTACCCCGTTCAACACGAGTCCTCTTTTGAATAGTTGCCAGCGTCCTCTGTTGGTAACCAACGCGGGTGAGATGTCTTGTGTAGCATCGCGAAACGATATGCGAATTGTGCTGATGTCGTTTCCAGTGAACAAATTCACCTCTTTGACAGGCACTAAGAGGAGCCGGCACCCATTCTGGACGCAACGATGTGAAGTGATGATTGGATTGTTCACGAATGCATCTTGCGCAGTCAAAGAAAGCTGCCGAATTGGATGTAAATGAGAGTAATTCTGCCCATTTTGGTGGGCAAAGTAAGAGGAGGACAAGGCATGCGAGTGAGTAGTGGAGCAAAAGGAAGATACGTCCGATTGAGCAGAATTCCACACCATCTGGAATAAACGGGTCAAAGACTATTTGGTACGGAAGTGATATTGTTCGTCACGATTGTGGATAGTCTGAAGAAAGCGTTGCTTCAACTCGTCAATGCTTGCAGAACAGAAAGCATCGTTGCCCAAACGAGAGCTCGAGGCGAATTGGAGACGTTGTAGCGCGGCAGTCTCGAAAGTGCAGAAGACATTGTTGCTCATCTCCGCTTTGAGGAGGCAAGCTCGAGGCTACCAGTCGCCCTCGGATTGGCATCCGTTGCACCAGGTCGCTTTGGGCACTTGCAACATTGAAGGGCGGGAGCAAGACTCAAGATGCCTGGCAACAACAGCCTCATTTCAGCTGGAAAAGAGGGCATTCTGGATTGAAGTCTCCAACTCGATTGGTGTCTGACAGATGCTGTTGCCATGACGTATCTGACCCGTTCAAGACTGAGGCTGCTGTCGAAGTAGGCAGAAGCAGGCGAACCATAAAATCACTTTTTCCGATTGCTACGGCGACAAACATGTCATGTGAAATGGCCGGTAAAGTGACTCGTGCTTGTAGTTCACCGACGCTGACGACGGGGACTACTTGTTGCTCTGTTGTCATCGGATGCTGCCACGAGATTGTAGGCGGACCCAGTCTACGAAGCAGCATCGTCGCGTTTCAGTGCAAGCAGACTTGACTCTCGTCGGCCATGTTAGAACTGGTTGCCATGGCTGGTGCTGTAGCAAAGAAGCTAATCAACTCGTGGCAGCAGTCGGAATGCATGTTCTATGAATGTGTCATGGTTGCTATGGGAGAGGAAGGAAGCCGTGTCGAATGTGGAAGAGAGTGAATGTGAGTTGTGAGGGCAAAGTGGGTTTGGAAGCATTGCTCAGCGGTTGATTGTGACATAAAGTCGAGTAAAAAGTAGGTTGGAAGGAATTCGTGATGCGATGGCATCGGAAAGCGGAACAAGTTCTCGGCTTTACTTAAACGCAGAAATGTCTCTATGCCAATCTGTACATTTGGTGTATCTTACTTGATATGATAACATGCAAT